TTTTTCGACCGACTCGATGCTCGATGTTTCCTCGCGTTTGCATGCGATGTTTCTATATATTTTTATTATACGGGAAAGGGATTGTTACGAGTCGGTTAAAAGAAAAAAAAGGAAAAAAAGAGGAAAAATGAGAAAAGATCCGGACGAGTTGCTGTCNTATATATATATATATATAGAAAAATTTGTAGCGGAAACGAAGACAAAAGCACAAGCGACGATAATCTCTGTTGCGTGTGTAGCTCTGAAATGAAGTTGAAAAAAAGTTCAATAGTATTCGTTTGTATTATATTATTATACTACAATATATTTCGTATATCGTTTATTTTCTTTCTCGCGTATGTACAATTTTTTTCAATTTCGAAACAATTTCGATCGGATTATTGGAATAATTTTTCTCTCTGTTTTTCAGTTAATTGATTTGCGTAATTCATTTCTTTGTTACGATGAATAAAATTTACATTTTCCAATGTAACCACTTGTTTATTACACTTTGCTTTCAATGTGTTACTGATTTCATTTTTCTTCAGCAAACTCGCCGAACAATCGATTTCCCTCGAAAATCGAAAAATCGAGAGTGTTCTTCGACCACGGTTTCTTTTATTACGAAAGAAAGAAAAAGGAAAGAAAAGGAAAGGAAAGGAAAGGAAAGGAAAAGAAAAAAAAAAAATGGAATCAGAATGCCAACTCGATAAACACTCGAACACTCTCTACATCGTTTGTTTCCGTTTCAGGTTATTGGCTGCTGTTCTAACAGATAGGAACGCGATCGAGGCACGAGGAATGGTCCATCCAAGGACAATCACGAGGGAATCGTGCACAACTCGACACTAACAATCTCAACATTTTACGTGTTTTACACGAAAATTCCAAAATTCTTCTATACGATAACCAAATTATTTTGTAATTAGAGGCTGGGAAATGGAGGGGACGAAAAAAGAAAGGGAAGAAATTAATAATAAATAAACGAATGAAAAATGGACTCACTTTTAGAAAGTGATATTCGATGGATCAACATTCCAGATTCTATATACCTTAATTAATAATACAACACCTGTAATTCTCTATTTCTTTCCTCACTTCCAAAATAAACACTTCGAGAATAATAAATGGAATCACGCTTATTTCCCCTCGACGCGCAATTTCTTTTTCTTTTTTTTATCGTTCAACAAAATTATCCAATATTTTCAGATGGATTGGCTCGTTCAAGATTAAATTAAAAACGTTATTACGATCGGCGCGTAACGAGCCAAGCAGTTGTCGTCGAACGTCGACATTGGTGGAACAGTAGTACATCCGTATCCGATTTTTCAGGTGGTGGCCCGGAACTCGCTATGGTCCAAGTGACGCCGTACCAGTGCCCGAAATGCTTCAAATATTTTAAATCCTCGAAATCGTGGTGCAATCACCGAGGCACATGCGGCACGGACAAGAAATTTGGTTGCGCGTTCTGCGATTATCGGTCACACCAAAAGGGGAACGTGCTCCGCCATCTTGTCACGCAGCATCGAGAAGCTAGCAAGAAGAAACGTATCAACTACGTATTAAGAGTCGACGATCGTTGGAACACCTCTTTCCCGTCCAACACGTGAAACACGAGTAGCTAAAAGAAAGAATAATATCATCGAAGATATTATCGAGCTCGTCGATCGTTCTTTCTCCTCCCTCCTCCCCCTTCCCTCCTAAAAGAAAAAAAAAATGTAATGCGTGACGTGAATGCGATGCGATATATAAACTTTGCGAAGACTTTCGCAGGAAAAAGTGTGTAATTTGTTTCATATCGAAAGGAAATAGGAAAGATCGTCTTCGATTCGAACGACGGACGGATAATTTATCCCTTCTCTTTAGAAATAATAATAAAAAAAAAAAAAAAAAAAAAAAACGAGAAATCTTCGAAACAAACGTTTCAAAACAAGCGCAAATTTTGTTCTTCGCCCTTCGCTTGTTTGCCAATCGTTAATTGGTTGGTTAATTGATATCCGTGTCATATCGGTAAAGCGTGTTAAATTAATTAAATTCTTCCTCCTCATATTTGTCTTCCTTCGCAACAACAACCACCACCACCACCGTTACATTGACCGCGAAGGAAATTATCGTTTCATCGTCGTATCGGGCTCCAACTCCACTTTACGACCTCTTTTTTTTTTTTTTTTTGGGGTTGAGAATCGAAAACCGATCGACCGATCGATGAACCTATAAGTTGCCTCGAGAGAGAGAGAGAAAGAGAGAAAAAGCACGCGCGTACACGTGTGCGTAATAAAAGTGTGTGTACCCGGTTTCACGAAGTGTTCTTTTCTTCTCTTTTTTTTTTTTTTTTTTTTTTTTTTTTCTTCCTCTCTTTACGGAGCGGTGTCGCGGCGATGAATTGGGGGCAGGCCTAAACTCGCTTTTTCTTTTTACCAATTGCAGATGGGACGAGGGAGAGCAAAGCGTTCGAGGAGAGCACCGATCTCCCGGTTCAAGCGTGGAAGATCCAGGAGCAGGGGCTGTTACCGTTCGCCGAGCTCAAGATACCGAAGGCGTGCAACTACGTGGGGAAGAAGCCGCCGGGACAGTTCGGGTGCAGCAGATGCGGAAGATCGTATATGAGGAAGGACTCGTTGCAGAGACACGTCCACTGGGAGTGCGGGAAGGAGCCACAGTTTCAATGCCCATTCTGCCCCCAACGGTGCAAGCGGAAAGCCCATTGGCTCCGACACATCCGCCGCCAACACTTGGACAAAATCGGGGACATGGAGGCTTACCTGCTCGCGTACACGCCGAAGCTCGAGATAGATTGAAAATGAGAGAAAGAAAGAAAGAAAGAAAGAAAGAAAGAAAGAAAGAATCGTTTCACGCTCGATATTACATTTCACACCGCGACAGAAAATATTTTTCTTACACGATTTACTTACCATCGATCGTCGGCTCATTTCACGTAGGAGACGATCCGATTTTTGCGAATCGAATTATTGCGATTATTATTTACTTTTCTTTTTTTTTTTTTTTCCACCACCACCACCATCATCTCCCTCTCCCCTTCTGCCATTTTTTTTTTTCTTTTGTTGGAAATTTTAACGAATTTGCTGCGTGGAACTGGTAATAGTCGAATTTTGCGTTGTTTATTCCTTCCTCCCCTCTTTTTTTTTATTTTTATTATTAATATTATTATTATTAATATTATTATTAATATTATTATTATTATTATTATTGTATGAAAATGTTAAGAAAACCGAATGTTAAGAAGAAAGGGCAGCTTCGACAGGGATTCATCAGTAAATATCCATCGAGTGATCTGAGTCGTTTAGAGATTATTTTTTTTTTTTTTTGCAGAACTGACTTATGATATAAAAGTATCGAATGCGTTTTAGTATCGTGATATATATATATTTTTCCTGTGTTTTTTTTTTTTTTAATGATTTTTTTATTATCATATCATATAATTGGAAAAGGATTGTACGAATGAAATTTCGATTTTTAATCAGATTGCAGGAAATGATATGGAAATAGATTTGCAATGGAATTAAGCAAAGGTGTTTTTTTTTTTTTTTTTTTTTTTGAAAAGTGTAAAATCGAGTAATCGTAATCGTGAAGTATCTTGTACTTCGAAGTTTAATAACACGACTGATAATTTATTTATAAATATGTAACATAGAATTTATTTAGAAGTTAGTTTCTTGCGCTTTTTTTTTTTCTTTTTATACGTTTTGCGATCTTTTACTCTCCTTCCACACACCCCTCCCCCTCTTTGCGATGAAATTTCGAACAATTGTACATTTTTCTAAAGCGAAGACAAAAAAGAAACTCCGTCGATCGTATCCAATTGTACTCCATCCAGTGCCTTAACGAGATAGTTATAAATTCGTCACCGAGACAATAAAGTTTGCGAGTTTTGTAAAAAAAAAAAAAAAAAAAAAAAAAAAAAGAAAAAAAAAGAAGAAGAAAAAGAAGAAGAAAAAGAAGAAGAGGAAGAACAAGAGGAAGAAAAAGAAGAAGAAAAAAGGAAACAAAAAAAAGAACAATTACGAGCGGAAACAAAAAGTACACACACATACACACACATACGTACATACATACATATACAAGAAGGAATTAGCCTTAAAAAAAAAAAAAAAAAAAAAAACAAAGAACTTGATTTAGATCCTAAAAACGATAAGTAAGACTATTTTCTAATGTTAAGCGTGTTAGGAGGATAAACGAACGACGAATAGGTTCGTATGCGAACTTTCCACTTAAGACTGATCCGTATTTAAAAAAAAAAAAAAAAAAAACGCGATAAATCTACGATTCGCATTCAGTGTTGCATTATGATTTTGCGACTATAGTATTAACGTTCTAAATAAGCGAGTCCAAATCGTATTTCGTACGTTTGATTAAATAAATGTGTCGAAAAGACGAAAAGTATCAGAACGTCACCCAAACATACATATATATATATATCTAATACCTTTGCCAATTACACGCGTTGATTTTTACAATTCTTTTTCTTTTTTTTATTTTTTTTAATATATATATATATTATATACATATATACGTATATAATATATTTGTTTCCATTCAACGATCGAGTACCGCCGCAAAATTGATCCTTACGTGAATTAGCAAATTAATCCGTAATTCGTAAACTTATATTTCAACTTGACGAAATATCAACGGTTTCAAGCGATACACATCTTTCATAATTTTTTTTTTTTTTTTTTTTTACCAGCGAAAAAAATATTTCTCACCGATGTTTGCCAGACTCTGTACTTTCCTTTTTCGCATTGTGCCCATATATATATATATATATATATATATCTCTCTCTCTCTCTCTCTTTCTTCTCGCTCTCTCGTTTTCTCCTACCTCTTTCTCTTTAATCGTTCTCTCTTTCCTTCTTTCCAATTCTCTCTCTCTCTCTCTCTCTTTCTTTCTTTTCTCTCTCTTTGTCTCTTTGA